TAATGAACATTTTCATGTTTTCATGAAGATTTTAACGTTTTAATGAACATTTAAACGTTTTAATGAAGATTTAAACGTTTTAATGATGATTTTAACGTTTTTAAAAACGAACATTTAAACGTTTTAATGAAGATTTATATTCAACAAGCATATATATATTCTAATATATAACAGACATATATATCTTGTTTCTACATGATATCAGAAGGAGACTGCTTGTTTCTACATGATATCAGAAGGAGACTGCTTGTTTCTACGTGATATCAGAAGGAGACTGCTTGTTTCTACGTGATATCAGAAGGAGACTGCTTGTTTCTTTATGATGTCAGAAAGATACTGCTTGTTTATTTGATATCAGAAAGATACTGCTTGTTTCTTTATGATGTCAGAGGGAGACTACTTGTTTCTTTATGATGTCAGAAGGAGACTGCTTGTTTCTTTATGATGTCAGAAGGAGACTGCTTGTTGCTTTATGATGTCAGAAAGATACTGCTTGTTTCTTTATGATGTCAGAGGGAGACTGCTTGTTTCTTTATGATGTCAGAAGGAGACTGCTTTTTTAACGTTTTTAAAAATGAAGATTTTAATGTTTTATTGAACCTTTAAACGTTTTTAAAAATGAACATTTAAACGTTTTAATGAACATTTTCATGTTTTAATGAAGATTTTAAAGTTTTAATGAACATTTTAACGTTTTAATGAAAATTTTAACGTTTTAATGAACGTTTTAACGTTTTTAAAAATGAACACTTAAACGTTTTAATGAAGAATTTAACATTTGAATGGACATTTAAACGTTTTCATGAACATTTTAACGTTTTTAAAAATGAAGATTTTAATGTTTTAATGAACATTTAAACATTTTAATGAAAATTTTAACGTTTTAATGAACCTTTAATTGTTTTTAAAAATGAACATTTAAACGTTTCAAAGAAGAATTTAACGTTTTAATGAACATTTTAACATTTTTAAAAATGACTATTTAACCATTTTAATGAAGAATTTAATGTTTTAATGAACATTTTAACGTGTTAATTAACAATTTAATGTTTTAATGAAGATTTTAACATGTTAATGAACATTTAAACGTTTTAATGAACATTTTAACATTTAAAAAAATGAACACTTAAACGTTTTAATGAAGACTTTAACATTTGAATGGACATTTAAACGTTTTCATGAACATTTTAACGTTTTTAAAAATGAAGATTTTAATGTTTTAATGAACACTTAAACATTTTAATGAAAATTTTAACGTTTTAATGAACCTTTAATTGTTTTAAAAATGAACATTTAAACGTTTCAAAGAAGAATTTAACGTTTCAATGAACATTTTAACATTTTTAAAAATGACTATTTAACCATTTTAATGAAGAATTTAATGTTTTAATGAACATTTTAACGTTTTAATTGACATTTTAATGTTTTAATGAAGATTTTAACATGTTAATGAATATTTAAATGTTTTAATGAACATTTTAACATTTAAAAAAATGAAGATTTTAACATTTTAATAAAGAATTTAATGTTTTAATGGACATTTAAATGTCTTAATGAAGATTTTAATGTTTTTAAAAATGAACATTTAACCATTCTAATGAAGAATTTAACATTTTAATGAACATTTTACCGTTTTAATGAACATTTTAATGTTATAATGAACATTTTAACGTTTTTAAAAATGAACATTTAAACGTTTTAATGAAGAATTTAATGTTTTAATGGACATTTAAACTTTTTCATGAACATTTTAACTTCTTTAAAAATGAAGAATTTAATGTTTTAATGAACATTTTAACGTTTTAATTAACATTTTAATGTTTTAATGAAGATTTTAACATGTTAATGAACATTTAAACGTTTTAATGAACATTTTAACATTTTTAAAAATGAACATTTAAACGTTTTAATGAAGAATTTAATGTTTTAATGGACATTTAAACGTTTTAATGAAGATTTTAATGTTTTTAAAAATAAACATTTAACCATTTTAATGAAGAATTTAACGTTTTAATGAACATTTTAACATTTCAATGAACATTTTAATGTTTTAATTAACATTTTAATGTTTAAATTAACATTTTAACATGTTAATGAACATATTCGGATATATATTAGACATATACATCTTGTTTCTACATGGAGACTGCTTGTTTCTTTATGTTGTCAGCAAGATACTTGTTCCTACATGATATCAGAAGGAGACTGCTTGTTTCTTTATGATGTCAGAAGGAGACTGCTTGTTTCTTTATGATATCAGATGGAGACTGCTTGTTTCATTGATGTCAGAAAGATACTGCTTGTTTCTTTATGATGTCAGAGGGAGAGTGCTTGTTTCTTTATGATGTCAGAAGGAGACTGCTTTTTTAACGTTTTTAAAAATGAAGATTTTAACGTTTTAATGAAGATTTTAACATTTTAATGAACATTTTAAATTTTAATGAACATTTTAACGTTTTAATGAACATTTTAACATTTTAATGAACATTTTAAAGTTTTAATGAACATTTTAACGTTTTAATGAAGATTTTAACGTTTTAATGAACATTTTAACGTTTTAATGAAAATTTTAACGTTTTAATGAACATTTCAACGTTTTTAAAAATGAAGATTTTAATGTTTTAATGAAGATTTTAACGTTTTAATGAACATTTAAACGTTTTAATGAAAATGTTAACGTTTTAATGAACCTTTAATCGTTTTTAAAAATGAACATTTAAACATTTTAATTAACATTTTAACGTTTTATAAATGAACATTTAAAAGTGTTAATGAAGAATTTAATGTTTTAATGAACATTTTAACGTTTTAATTAACATTTTAATGTTTTAATGAAGATTTTAACATGTTAATGAACATTTTAACCTTTTTAAAAATGAACATTTAAACGTTTTAATGAAGAATTTAACGTTTTAATGGACATTTAAACGTTTTAATGAAGATTTTTATGTTTTTAAAAATAAACATTTAACCTTTTTAATGAAGAATTTAACGTTTTAATGAACATTTTAACGTTTTAATGAAAATTTTAATGTTTTAATGAACATTTTAACGTTTTAAAAATGAACATTTAAACGTTTTAATGAAGAATTTAATGTTTTAATGAAGAATTTAATGTTTTAATGAACATTTTAATGTTTTAATGAACATTTTAATGTTTTAATGAACATTGAAACGTTTTGATGAACATTTTAACGTTTTAATGAACATTTAAACATTTTCATGAACCTTTTAAATGTTTTAATGAACATTTTAACGTTTTTAAAATAAACTGTTTAATTTTTTAATGAACATTTTAACGTTTTAATGAAGAATTTAATGTTTTAATGAAGACTTTAACATTTTAATGAAGATTATAACGTTTTAATAAACATTTTAACATTTTAATGAAGATTTTAACGTTTTAATGAACATTTTAACGTTTTATTGAACCTTTAAACGGTTTAATGAACATTTTAACGTTTTAATGAATCTTTAAACGTTTTAATGAACATTTTAACGTTTCATTGAACATTTTAACGTTTTATATAACATTTTAACTTTTTAATGAACATTTTAACGTTTTTAAAAATGAAGATTTTAACGTTTTAATGAAGATTTTAACGTTTTAATGAACATTTAAACGTTTTAATGAACATTTTAACGTTTTCATGAAGATTTAAACGTTTTAAAGGAGCATGGGGCAGGATGAAGAAACGAAACTCATTAGCGACGCACTCGGCGCTGTGAGTAACTGCAGCCCGGCACGAGAGCGCGCACAAACTCTTCACTAGAAAAAAATGTTAGTGATGTACGGCCAGAGCACGGCTCGAACAAGGCACCATGTCAAGCGATGAAGTAAGTAACATTGTTACTTTAGTCTAATATTTGTAAAATTCCATGACAACATTAGCTTTTTAATTTAGCCATGACACTCGTGATGTAAAGCAAGTGCTCCTTCCTATGAAATATTCATAAGCCAGTTTTGTGACTGGCGAGCAAGACAGTAACATGATGCTACTTTATCAGCATAAGGCTTTGTGGCTGCAGGTGATTTCTGGTGTTTTTAGACCAATTACAGTTATTATTTTTGCACTAAGCTTACCAACAAGCTAATGTTATTGTTTATGCATCATGTAAGAACATCCAATTTCAAGTCACTGACATCATTTGTGAAACCAATTTCATTACAGGACAGGCATCACAACAATGTAAATAAGAACATAAATATCAATGTTTAGTTCAAAAATGCATCAAAATAAAATCATAATATCAACAAGACCTACAGGGTAATAGTCATTTTTCCATTACTGTCATTGATTTTCAGGAATTCACATTGGAAGGAGTGATGGAAAACAGCTCAGATGGAGTGTGCCCGAGCCTGCCACAGACTTTGATGTGTCGTGGGAAAGTCTGAGACCAGGGGCTAAAGGAAAGGGGAGAGGAAAAGGTCGCTCCGAGGGTCGGGGAAGGACACGCTCAAGGGGTGAGGGCAGCAGGTTGAGGTCCAGAGCTCCTTCAAGAGGACCAGGGCGCCGGGGTAGGCAGCAAACAGCTTTCAGAGAAGAGGACCGAGACCGGCTTGCACAGCTGAGAGCTGCCAGTATAGCTGAGATGCAGGTTGGTTGTAGCCATTTGTGTAAAAAAATAGAATACAATAATAGAGATGCCAAAAACGAAAACATCACTCACTGGAGATATGAATCTAGTTGTGTAAACATATGCTCTTTAATTTCTAGACAGCTTTACAACACCTGAGCCAGGAGGAGAGAGATTATATTCTCGAGAGTGGTGACCCGTCTTCCAGGGGTGATGCTGGATATCCTGGAGTTTCGGCAAGAGACGCCAGGACACCGTGTTCCTGACTGAGGGCACCCTAACCCAAAAATCCAAACCGTTTATCTACAACTACAGTAGCTCCAAAACAGCACAATACCTCAAAATAACTTTAGCTGAAGACAGCATTTTCACCCAAAAATAAACAAACAGTTTGTGCAATATATTTATTTTTATTTATGTACAAAAAGTTCTGTTATTTGCATTTGTACATAGTATTTTTTCTTAATTTCAAATAAATCTGTGTGCATGAAAGAAGTCATTCCTGTCTTTTGATGCTTCACGTAGCTGGGGCCTTTATGGAGAGAGAACAGCAGCATTAGATCATACATAGATTACATGAGAACGCAATTCTGGAAACTCTCCAGTTCTGAAGTTGACCTGTAAAAAAAACAAAAGCTACAACATTATAGATTATTAGGAATCACACTTTTGATTGCCTTTTCATCCACAATTTTCATTTCTATATGTAAATTGTCAGCTTTGATATTGACACTAGCTTTTTTGCTTATGAAAATGTTATTAATATACCTAAAGGTCAGATTGGTGACATCCTTCAACCAGCGTCTGTTGAACATGATTCGTTGAAGAGCCTCGTATGGTGGAGATCATGGCACCATGAGCTCTTTATCACTGGTCGTTGCATCAAGTGGTCCATGGTCACATTTGCCACGGGTCCATTCATGCTTCCCTGTGACATGGTGAAGCACACCCACCCACATGTCCTAACAGAAAAAATAAGTTTTATTTGAAAACTTTACACGTGACAGAAGCGCTCACCAACAGAAACACGAGAGCTGGCACTATTATGAAAAGAAAGGTAATTATGTCAATGTGCATTGTTGTCTTGTTGTCCAAAAGATGTCACAATACTTACATTAAACATATCACGATGTTGTGCTTTCTGGCAAATGTACCAAAATTGGTTGAAGATGTCATTCAGCCACACAAGTAGGATGGAAATTCCCTTTAGGATCCCAGTCTGTGAACAAGGATAAAACAACAATTCCATCTTTTAGCTCTTTTTAAAACATAGAAGGGTTTTATTTACCTGCAACGTTTTGTTTGCGGCTGCAAACTTTGTCAGCCTGACAAAGTTTTCATAACAGTTCTATTCTGTTATGAAAACAATAAATAAAAGTAGAATTACTATATTGTTTTAAGACTTTGGAGTTTAAAAAAAGAGTGTAGATAAGAATAGGGCTGTCATGGTCTGCGTCAGCCCCTTCCCTTTTTGTGCCTCCTGGTGTTCTCCATCCCTCTCTAGATTCCCTCTTGTGTCCCTTTGTTCCCCAGCTCCTCTTGTGCTCCACTCCAGGTTCCAACCTTGTGCTCTCTTAGTGCCTTCATGTGTCCTTGTCTGCATCCGTGTTATGTGTCTTATGCTGTAGCTCTTTGGTGCCCTCATGTGTCCTTTTTCTGCGTGTCAGTTTAGTGTCTGATGTTATCTTTTTTACTATTTCCTCCCAGGTCAGCTCCATCCTCGTTGTCCCCAGCTCAGTGTGTGTATGTACTATGTCCTCCTCCAGCTAGTTTGTGTGAGTCCTTCCCTCTGTCTTTAGGAAATTGTTGTTTAGTTTTATGTTAAGGTATTTGCCATCCTCTGTTTCTGTTTTCCCCATTGAGTTGATTAGTGTCACCTGCCTTCCCTCCAGCAGCTCACCCCACACACCTGCTTCCTGTTTCCCTGATTGCTCCTCCCAGTGTATTTAGGCCCTGTCTGTCTCTGTGTTCTTGTCAGTCCATTAATGTTTGTTTGTTGTTCTTGTCAGGCCTGTTCCTGTTCCTAGCATCTAGTGTTCCAGTGTCTCTAGTCCTCTAGTGTTTTTATTGCTCAGTTAAGATTATTGGAATTTTGGGTTTTGGCTCCCTGCCTTTGGACTACTCCTAAATAAAGGATTTATTTTCATCATCTACCTCCTGCCTGGTTCATCTGGTTTTCTGCATTTTGGGTCCTAAACATCCTACTACACCAAATCGTGACAAGGGCTGGGCAATATGGCCTCAAATCTATATTGCGATATAATCTGAAGCAATGTGCAGTAACGATATATATTGCGATATATTTTTTCATCTGTTTATAGATGTCAAATTGACATGCTTTTAGATATCCTCATGTGGCAAATATGCCACTTGAGGCATATAGGCCTCCTCCTCCACCCACTCCATGCTTGCAGTCACCGCCATTCTGTTGTCCCATTGTCAGCAGGGTGCACATCTTAGTGACGTCATGTGTTATCACAATATCGCCGTATTGCGATATAGCCAAAAACTATTACCCAATTTTATATCATTTCTACCTTATATCGTTTATATTGCCCACCCCTAGATAAGAAGACATTGCAACTCACACACTGTTGAGTAAGTTGTTTGCTTGGTCCTCATCAATTTGGACTGCATCCGTAGCTAGATCCATGGATTTGAAACTACAGATAACACAATATTTGTTGTACGTAAAGATAAATACTGGAACTTATCTGAAATGGTACTGATTCTAAAGAGATAAATGTGGAGCCTAATACATCTTTCATTAATTATTTCTGCAAATAACAACAATCTGCTGTGAATTGACACTTCACAACATAAATAAATATATATAATGACCTATATTTGCTTATCTATTGCTTATCTTATTGTGTTTTTATCTTTTTTGCACATATTACAGCAGTAATTTCCTGCGTATATGGCAAGACTTCTCATGAACAAATTTACCTTTCTTCAAAAGGATCCAAATCTAGGTCATCAGCTAAGGCCTCAACACCAGCCATTAGAAAGTCTTCCCTGTAAAGATAATGTCAGAAGTGTTTGGTGGTGTGATGTTAGTTCTGAACCAAGTGTGGATATGCAAGGTGTAATTTAATGTATGAAATATCATAGCACAAAAATGTGAATATTTGTTTTACAGAAAAGATACTAACCCCTCAGACACAGGTTCAGTTGGAGATAATCGATGCGACATTTTAGCTGCTGTTCGCTTACTGGGTGTCGAGGTTGCCTTCACATAACCTCCCTGAATTGCAGTTTCAGGAGCCTGCTTCTTCCGGTAGCTGGAAAACACATTTTTAAACAAAAATGTCAACAAGTTGGTTGAGACTCTACACCTTCTGTTTACATAGATCAATAATGGCTAAGCTTCTTTACCTGTGGCACAACTAGTAATATGAAAATGCATGTCAGTCATAAAAAAAATTATTTATCATTTTCACAAACATATTTTATTCTGACCTACATTCAACAGGACAAATTTAGAAAAATAAACACAAACTTCTGCACAACTTTACTTTTAGTCAAACATGTTGTTATGGCTGACTTATTATTTATTCTTATGTAGCACAGCAATAGCGCTAGGGAAATATATTCCGATGGGGTTCTGTTACACAAACCCCACGAATAACATTATCTACTGAAGTAAGAGTCCTGCTTAGAGGTTGGACTGTAGATCAAATATGACATAATTCTAAAGACTCATCTTTGGTTTGGAAAATGTCCGTTCTCTTCTGTGGTACATACAAACTGAAGCGTGATCGCAGCTAACATGCTACGCACGCTAGCTCTCTCCGGCTGAGCGGTGACGTCATATAATCAAATCAAGCTCTGTTTACTTTTCTCGTCAGAATAAACGGATCATCCATTTATCTCCAAAAACATGCGGTGTCGTCCACAAAACGTAGAAGTGATCCGGTTACTCCTTAGTTGCTTTTAGCTTTTTCAAACTGATCAGGAAGCCATATGCTAAACACCGTTAGCTTAGATAAGTTTCTTGTTCATCTGCACAAAGATTTGTTAGATTACCTAAATCAGCATTATCTAAATCCATAAGTTTTATTTTATTTTCTCAAATTGTGCAGATACAGCTCTGATATGTTTACCTACTTGTTACTGAAACCTACAGCAGAAATAAGGAGACCAACACTTACCTGGTCACTAGAAAATGAGCCTTGTCCGCATCCTTTTTCAGGCACCAATTCCAGCTGAAGCAGCCTCCATTCTTCCAGAGCGTAATCAATAGATATTCGGGTCCCTGACCGACTTTTATCATATTTTCTTTTTGACTCTCGAGATGCCGCTGATAAAACCTTCTTCTTTGTGCCACTTTTTAGTGGGCTTTGAGTTGCGCTTGGTCGTTTGCTAGTTGGGGACACAGCAGGCTTGTGCGGATTTGGGGTGGGGGGTGTTATGTAAAGACCCCTTGACACGTCACGTGCCCATCTCAATAATTTTTCCATCCTCAATATATATATATATATATCAAAGTTAAAAAATGTACAACTCTATTATTATTTTTATTTATTATTATTGAAGTGCAGTTTTGGCTGTTGACAATGGATAGGCCATTGTATTTATTGTTTTGGGTCTTTTTTAATTGTTTTTGGTGCAACATTTTCTAACAGGGAGTGAGATTCCTTTTTTATTTAATTTTTGTTTGTTATTTTTGTTCATTTAGAAGTTCTGGTTCTGGACATTTCAATGTTAAATGAAGGTTTATTTGTTGCATTTTAAAGGGTGTACTTGCATTATTATGATATATTAACATTATATTAGTGGTTATTTTGGTCTAGATAATGTTGACAATGATATTGTTTATCATCAACAATTTGTTGGACAAAATATCGTCCAGCAAAATTTGTTACTTTCCCAGGCCTAGTCAAAAGTATAAAAATTATTTATACATAAACGGTCCCTCCTGAGATCTGGCCGTTTGTTCATTTGCTGTGTTAGAGGACATGCTGAACTAATGTTTTACACATGATCATCACCCTAACATTTGAGTGTATAAAAACATATTAAATATGTTTTTTCCCTTAAAAGTGTTTAAACAGTTGTTGCATTTCAACACACAAAAAATAAATGGAAAAAATAAGATAAATCTAATGAAAAGTGTACATCTATGACATTAAGCTTAAAAAAATCTGTTGACGATGATACTGTTCATTTGTCAGAGCTTTTTAATGTGAACATATACATTGCAATAGATAAGTTTACAATAAAGTTAAATGATAAAAGTTTTGAAGTTACACTTCTACTACTACTACTAGTAATAATAATTATGATGATAATAGTAATAATAAAAAAATAATAATTATAATAATACGAATAAATTCTGTCTGAGGAGTCAGTTATGTGGAGGAGATGAGTTTGTAAAAGTTAGTTTTGAGTATGTTTGTGAAGGAGGAGGTGAGTCTGAGCTTAATGCAGGGGTGTCACATGTTCCAACTTACGTTTTGACTTTGAAAGAAGTCTCTTATATCCACTTTTCGTTTTCTTGACATGCTGCCTCCTGGCTGTGCCTAACTACCAAAGACTCACAAATGAACACTTATTCAAATGTTATGTAATGGAAGCTGAGCTGAGCTCTGATATTACACAGCGTCTAATTGACGATGTGACTCAGTACCGGTGTTCCCTAGCGGCTCCAAACTAGCAAAACAACGTGAGCACGTTCTGACGGTTTACAACTTGAGTGACAGCAGCAACAGCCAATAATACGTTAGCAAGTATCAGCAGAGCCAATAGATTAGCTTTTGGGCAGGTCTAATAGGAAACCGGTTTTCGTTTCGGTCCTAGTGCTCAACGAAATCCATTTAATGGAGCGTAATATAGTTTTTGGACGGAAAAAAGTGCAGGGGACCAAAACTGCCTTTTGAAAAAGTGGGGGGGACATGTCCCACCCCCCCCCCCCCCAAAATTACGTCCCAGGCTTGAAGCTAGGGCTGTCGCGGTTGAGGAATTCCCTCTGCGGTGATTCAGGGTGGCTTAATATTGCGGTGTGCGATATTATTGCAGCACTTTTTTATTGCAGTACTATCTAAACATAATGTTTACACATTTAAAAAAGGTTAAAAATTGCCGTGCCTTCTTTAATAACACTTTACTGAATGCAGATCAAAGGGCAGTAACAACGCAGATCGCAGTAACGCTTGTTTCTCCGACAGTCGGAGTCCGACTGAACTTAAAAACAACAAAATTCAGGAGGTTAAACTTTTAAATGCAAATTTGGCTGCAGCATCTAACAAATAAGAAACAAGTCCCCATTTTGTTTAGTTGTTTAAAATCAAGCATAAAAAATTACATGTACCGGGCGCGCGCGCGCGCGCCGGGGGGCGGGCGCACTATCATTTCACTTTCACACACACGAATGACGGTGATTTATAGCTCGGTCACGTCCTTGTTACCTACAAGGAAAACCAGCATGTTAACTACGGTTTGAGAGAGGATCTGAGAGGGGCGGCAACATTTGCAGCAACACTGAAAAGCCTCTCGGATGGTGCGCTCGTTGCAC